CCCTCAGTTTATTCTCAGTTTTTAAGAGTCTCTTATGTTTTGGCTCCCTCCCTCTCTAACCTCTTTTTTTTTTTCCTCCTTCCCCTCCCCCATGGTCTTCTGTTAAGTTTCTCAGGATCCACATAAGAGTGAAAACATATGGTATCTGTCTTTCTCTGTATGACTTAATTTCACTTAGCATAACACTCTCCAGTTCCATCCACGTTGCTACAAAAGGCCATATTTATTCTTTCTCATTGCCACGTAGTATTCCATTGTGTATATAAATGAAAAATGGGTTTTAACCCTAGAGCTGAGGACTATTAGAATCTGGGTATATATGGGTGATTTTAAGCCTTTATGCTACATAATGAATTATTGGTCTGGAGATGATACTAAAAATGCCATCCAGTCTTTGGTGATTGACATGAAATATCAGGCCATGTCTCATTCATCTAGAACTCACATTTTTAGCAGAGGTTCTGTGCCACCTTTATAAGATAATAAATGGTTTCAAAAAATGCTTTTCAAAACTAGATCTGAAGTGATCTACCTGGTTCATGGAATGTACTTATTTTTAAGTAAATTTTTTGGAAACAGTAGTACAGGGTTCAAAACTCAGAGCTTAAAAGAGCATGCTGTAAAAAAGTATCTCTTCTATCCTTGTGCCTTTCCTTAAAGGCAACCAGTATTCATCAGTTTTGTATTTGTCCTTCTCAAGATACTTTGTACCTATGCATTAAATATGTACCCTAAGGGAATACACTTAGTATGTATGAACTGTCAATGTCTATACTTTACTTCTAACCAGGATTAGTTCTTTACTTTTAGTATCTACCATTGGAGTATTATTAAATTTGTGTAGTACATATTATTTTTCTGAGATCTTTTGCTTTTTGTTGTGGGATCCTGGGTTTGGAGATTTTTTTTTCACTAAGATGATAGTGAATAGAGAAATACTACTTTATTTTACTATTATGTTTATTTTAGAGCGTGAGCAGGGGAGAGGGGCAGAGGAAGAGAGAGAGAGGGAGAGGGAGGGGGGGGAGAGAGAGAGAGAGAGAGAGAGAGAAAGAAAGAGAATCTTAAGCAGGTTCCATGCTCAGCACCAAGACCGACACAGGGGCTCCATCCCACAACCCTGGGATCATGACCTGAGCCGAAATCAACAGTCAGATGCTCAACTGACTGAGCCACCCAGGCGCCCCAAGAAATACTACTTTTAAAGCATCATTCTTGGGGTGCCTGGTGGCTCAGTCAGCTAAGCATCCGACTTAAGTTCAGGTCATGATCTTGAGGTCCGTGGGTTTGAGCTGTGAGTCAGGCTCTGTGCTGACAGCTCAGAGCCTGGAGCCTGCTTTGGATTCTGTGTCTCCCTTTCTTTCTGCCCCCCACCCTCCCACTCACACTCTTTCTCTCAAAAAATGAATAAACATTAAAAAAAATTTTTTTAAAACATGCTTCTTGGGGCACCTGGGTGGCTCAGTCATTTAAGCCTCTGATTTTGGCTCAGGTCATGATCTTTTGGTTCGTGGGTTCAAGCTCTGCACTGGGCACTGTGCTGTCAGCTGGGAGTCTGGAGCCTGCCTTGGATTCTGTGTCTCCCTCTCTCCCTCTGCCCCTCCCCTGCTCATGCTCTGTCTCTCTCTCTGTCTCTCAAAAATGAATAAAAAGGTTAAAAAAATAAAAAAGCCTAGTTCTTTTCCCATCTTCTTTTTTTCTGAAGAAATATGATCTTGGTATGAGGAGTTTGTTGGTGTCTAACAGTTTTTTCTTCCCCATATTTTTGCCTGAAGGCGCTTGACTTTGGCAGATATTGAGAGAATAGCTCCGTTGGCTGAGGGAGCCTTACCTTACAACCTGGCAGAACTTCAGAGACAGGTAGGAGGAGTCTCATAAATAGAATCACCTTCAAAAATGCTGAAATAGTATGTACATGACAGCCTAAAGTTCCTGAATGCTATGAAAATTAAAAACTGTCCAGAAAAAGTCTCTACTTAGCTCAAAGATTGCAACTGTTATTCCCACCCTCATGGACTATTTTTATGGGGACCTAAATTTATGTTTGTGTTTTTTTCTTTATTAAGATAAGGGAAATGAGAGTGCAGACATACACGGGCTTGACTCCTCCCTAGAACTAGCAGTCTTCCTTTCACTTGTGTGGTGACACTTAAAGATTAGTGTTAAGTTCACTTTGAAAAATTAGACTGATATTTATAGGGCTTTAAAAATACAAAACATTCTTCTAATGAAGTACATCTTTCACTGAGATCATGCTTTATAGATTACAATAATAACACAGGAAAACTATATAAGTAATGAGCCAGAAAGACAACCTTGAATATTACTACATTTTTTAAATAAAATATTAGCATTTTTTCTTAAAGGATGATTTAAACAATAGCTTCTGAGTCCCATAAAGTTAATACAGTCCCATTTCTGATTACAAAAATACTACCTCAGTGGGAAAATAAACCCCATGATATTACATGGAAGAGTACAATGGCACAGTTATTTTTCTTTTCTTTTCTTTTTAAGTCTTGTTTTAAATTGAAACTTTCACTTCTGTGGCACTTGGAGGAGGCCCCAGTTGTAGTTATGGTCACATGGCTTTGTGTGTGGGGTGAGGGTTAGGAGGGCTCCTCCCTGTCACCCGGTATTTCCCTGCTGTCATAGACAATGCTTGTGTCCCACATGATTCCTGAGGAGACTTGTGCCGTATGAGACATTGAAAGGGTGTGGGGAGATAGGGAAGAAGACAGGAAAAAAAGGAGAGAGAGAAAACACTAAATGGGCATGCCACAGAAAGAGCCCAAGTCTGTTTTTTCTTCATTGCTGCCACATAGGTGAATAGCCACATGTGCTAGTAAAACATCAAGGCATGTTAAGTGTGGTTCACTTTGGGAAATTTTGGTAGGAAGTTTTTCTTCTACTTGTGCTCCATGAAATGATGTTTCTGCTTCTAAAGCTAATTAGGATTTCTAGTTCTACTTTTCATAATAAATAAGAATGTTTGTAGTCAGGTAAGTAGATTGAAAATGGAAAATTTTGCTTTTATATCTACATTTTATGTTAATACTTTGGAGTGTAGCAAAGCTTTCTGTAGATTAAGATATATCTGTAACTCCTTACAATTTAGCTTCTTTAGTAGCAAAGAATTCTTACCTGCTGCCATCAAAGTTTATTTCCACTGTACGTTCTCAGGTCCTTAAAAAATAGATGGATTTATTTCAATTCATTGATTTATAATAAAATTTAATAAAATTGTTAAATGGTTGAGATATTGAAATATTTAAAGAGCTTAGTGAATTTAATTTTACATTTTGTGGTATACATTTATGAAAATTTGCTCTAGAAATTTGAAAAAGTTGCATTTCAAAAGATATTTTTCAGTATTATGTGTCTATAAATAGCTTATAACATTACTATATTTCCTATGCTGTACTTTTCATCTCTGTGACGGATTTAGTTTATAACTGGAAGTTTATACCTCTTAATCCCCTTTATTTTGCATTCCCTCCCCCCCCCCCCCCCCCCCGCCCTGCACATTCCCTTTGGCAACCATTATTTACAACAGCCAAGATATGGAAGTAACCCAAGTGTCCACCAGTAGATGAATGGATGAGAAAGATGTGGTACACACACACACACACGAATATTACTCAGCCATAAAAAGGAATGAGATCTTGCCAATTGTGACACCTTGGATGGACCTAGAGGGTATTAATGCTAAGTGAAATAGGTCCAAGAAAGACAAGTATCATCTGATTTTACTTACATGTGGTATCAAAAAAACAAAACGAACACAAAACCCACCAACTCTTAAATCTTGTTTTGTAAGGCCAAGAATATTGAATTAAAATTCAGGTGTGATTTACTGGCAAAAGAATTTTGTTAATCTATTTTCCCTAGCCTTATTTTTCCAATCGTACATCTCAGTAGGTATTAAAATCTAGCTTTTTTCTCCCCCACCTCGTATAGTCAGTATAAAAATCTTCAGCTTTTCCTTTTCTTCTCTCCATTAATAGTATGCTGTTTTGAAGAGGTAGCTCTCTTCATTGGATTGACATACTACCTGAAGTAGTGTGGTTTGGGCACATAGCTTGACTTGTGGCATGATCTTGCTCTAGGTCATTCTCATTTATAGATTGAGGTATGTTCAACAACAAAAGCAGAAGAACTTTCTGCTACCCAAATGAGGTCTCAAGTCATTTCCTATCATACACATGTGCTTAGGGAACAGGTTAAAAATCAGTTAAGATTCTCAACTCTTATTTTGCTTTGAAAAACACTTAATTAATCTTGTTAAATATCACCTTCATGATCATAATCATAACTTAAGGGAAATGCCTTTTCCTTTGGCCCATTTGCTCATGGTAGGCGATCTTCTTACTGTTGAGTATTTTCTTTCAGTCTAAATGCTAAAAATTCAGTACACAGTCATTAACAGGCATGACAGCTACAGTAGCGTTCTACTTATGAATATTCATGAAGTGAAATCCATAGCATTAATTACATTAATTTACATACCTGAATACAAGTGAACCATAAGTTACAGTGATAGCTAAGCTTGAGAAAAACTTACTGACCATATTGTATTTAAAAAAATAAATAAATGCTATTTAATAAGGGCAGAGGCCAAAAGGCATTTGCGTATTTGGGTGTTTATAGTTAGAGATGTTTTTAGCTAAGAATTAAAACACACTGTAATCCTTCAGTTTTCATAGGATTTTGTAGGGCTTATAAACATTAAAAAATTAGTTTTTAAGTGCTTATTTAATTTTGAGAGAGAGAGCAACAGAACACAAGCGAGGGAGGGGCAAAGAGAGAGGGAGACAGAATCCAAAGTAGGCTCCAGGCTCTGAGCTGTCACCACAGAGCCTGACATGGGACTCGAACTCACAAACCGTGAGATCATGACCTGAGCTGAAATTGGATGTTTCACTGCCTGATCCATAAACATTTTGTAAAGGAAGAGAGAGGGTAAAGAAAATATATGTGATGAACACAGGAGAGGCTTTTTATATTAATAAAAAATAGTGGTAATTTTATTCTTTTTTGGGATCATAGCCCTTATTTGAGTTTTAGTTCAACATATTTTTTTGAAAGGAGACATGATTGAAAATAATAAATCTATGAGAACGAGGCCTGTTTTCACCCAGTTTTGTAATTGAGAAATTCCATTTTGGGATAAAGCTTTATGTGCATGTTTTTAGAAGTTAAAAATATTTTTGCTGTCCAAGAAACAGACTCTTAACTTATCTTTACCTTGAAGACACACACTGTGTTTTCCACTGTGCTATCTTTGAAACAGAGTATTAGAAGTAACTGGTTAGCCTTGCTTTGTTCAATCAACGTTTAAAAAACTAACTGAACATAGTCAGTATAATATGTTGAAGTGATATCAAAAAGATTTTTGGTTTAGTAAATGAAAATAAATTTTTTTGAAAATTATTTTATACCATCTCATTCTTTTTGTTTTTTAATGTTTATTTATTTTTGAGACAGACCGAGCATGAGTGGGGGAGGGGCAGAGAGAGAGGGACACACAGAACCTGAAGCAGGTTCCAGGCTCCAAGCTGTCAGCACAGAGTCCCACGCGGGGCTTGAACTCACAAACTGCAAGATCATGACCTGAGCTGGAGTTGGACACTTAACTGACTGAGCTACCCAGGCACCTCTGATCTCATTCTTTTATAACTTTTACTTTTGTAGATGTTTACAATGTAATCGCTTCTTGCCCTTTTGGCTAAGATCAAGTGTACAATGCATATTATGTGTAATTTAATAAAACCTATTACTTATATTTATATAGATATTAGTACGATGGATCATGTATATAATTTATAAATGAAATCATAATCTTTGGTTGGCAGGAGTATTCATTCATAAACGGTTGTTGAAACTATTTACTTAAATAATGGTGGAGAATGCAGTGGGGTGACTAGGGCCACGGGTCTGCTTATTCCCCATCTCACTATGAGACCTTTATTGTCACTTGTCCTGTCCTTAGTATGGCCATCTTACCTTTAAATGCACAGTGGACTGACTGAGAAATTAGTACTTTGTGGTCTCACTGTGGGTTAGACCATCCTGGTGGTCTCAAAGGGAGTTTATTTACAGAAGATTGAGAAACACTGGGCCCCCCAATGGCTGCATTAGACCACAGGTCTTGAATGCTGCTTGGTAAAGTACTTTCACCCTTTGGGAGATAGTAAATCTCTAAACAGTCTAAAATTAGTGTTGTTGGGGCGCCTGGGTGGCGCAGTCGGTTAAGCGTCCGGCTTCAGCCAGGTCACGATCTCGCGGTCCGGGAGTTCGAGCCCCGCGTCGGGCTCTGGGCTGATGGCTCAGAGCCTGGAGCCTGTTTCTGATTCTGTGTCTCCCTCTCTCTCTGCCCCTCCCCCGTTCATGCTCTGTCTCTCTCTGTCGCAAAAATAAATGTTGAAAAAAAAAATTAAAAAAAATAAAATAAAATAAAATTAGTGTTGTTATTGTAGTGATAAAGAGAACAAAAAGTAATTGTCTTTTTGGATGGCCCATTTGCTCTTCTGTGAATGAATCAAATTATGCTTATATTAAGGTTTTGTTAAAATATCCTACTCTTTCCCTTATTTGATTTCAAATATAAATATCAGTTCTATTTATTGCTCACTTTTGTTACAGTACATAAATTAAACACAATGGATGGCAATGCAGTTGCCTGGGCTAACTTGGTAGGAAAAAATGTATTTCCTACAAGATCATGATAATGTACTACTCTGTAATTTTCCACCATTTTCATGATGGTTTCTTCCACATGCTAAATTCAGTTTTGTACATAATAGGTATATACTTTCACGCAATGGATTATAATAAAGTTAGTATATTGTGATAGTTGAGCTTTATAAAATATGTACTGATATTTGAAATAATGGTGTTTTACCAATTTTTTTTGCCAAGGGTTTTCTCTGGGTTTCATTTTGACTTTTCATCATACATTACTTATTTTCCTTTTTACTATAGAATTTGTTGAACCACAGCACTGGCAAGCATAATGCGCTTTTTTTTTTTTTCTTTTTTAAGCATAATGAGCTTTTAAAAGATCTCTGCCTGCAGAGATCACAATCAAACATTAAACATTTAGGTATCACATGCTTTGGTTAAAAACTGAAAAGATGTGTATTGTGATTCAAGATTTACAAAACAACCAAATAAAACCTTTCTATAGGCTGCTTCTCAAATTATTTGTAAATATCCAGGTTTGTCATATTTATCTTGATTAATTGAGCTTTGAAGAGATTGTACAGATGAAAGCAAGTCAGAGTAGACTAGCTTTTTTTCTTTCTTTTAGATTTTAGGCATGGATTCCCTCTCCATTAAATTATTCTAATGAGCGTATCTAAGCTTTTTATTATGCAGGTTTTTAAAAAAAGCTTATTCCAAGTTAATATTTTTCAAGTTTTCTTTATAATAAACCAAATATTTTATTCTTTCATTTCAAACTGTTTATGCAGCATAACTGCTGTTTTCATAAAGAATATATTAAAGAACAAGACTGGCAGACTAGTATAGACAAATTATTTTAGATCCTTTATGTTGTGGGTTACCTATGAAATTCTGAGTCACAATAGGGTTTTTTCCTTTGCATTGTTATCATAATAAATCCTATGTTGTAACTATAAATGTGGGTAGCTAGGATAGTTTTCAGCCTAACTACATAGCAGAATGATTTAAAGCCTTTAAAATATAGTAAGCTCCAGGCCCCAGAGACTTATTTTTTAAAGCCTTTCTTTGGATAGGTATAGCTGGAGAATACATAGGTCTAGGAAAGAAAATGCTCAGTAACATGGTTCAGAAATACGTGGTTAACTAGTGATAACCTCAGTGGTGAGCTTGTAAAGCCAGAAGTAAGGGGGCCAAGGCTCTGAACTCTTAAAACTGTAGTTATTAAAGTTTTTCACTTTAGTCCCAAAGAGAAGCATTTGACTTTGCTTCACCTACATATACATAACAATCCTAGTTGTGTGACTGCTCCAGCCTTAAGAGAAGAGGCGATAGGCGGCCAAACCAAATCCAACCAGGAGGCTGTTGGTGAAAGAAGTAATGGCCTTGAGGCATGGGAAGATAGCACCAACAGGTGCATTAGATCTTGATGCAGTAATTGATGGACCTAGGAATCTGATGACTTTCAGTCATTAGAGAAGGTGTTTTTTATCATCAGTATTCTCTGATTTAGGAATCAAGATAGTTTGTGTACCTTTTAGAAATATATTTTTTTAATGTTTACTTTTGAGAGAGAGCAAGTGAGAGCGGGGAAGCGGCAGAGAGAGGGAGACAGAGGATACAAAGCAGGCTCCATGCTGACAGCAGCAAGCCCGATGCGGTGCTCAAACTCACGAACTGTGAGATCATGACCTTAGATGAAGTTGGATGCTTAACTGACTGAGCCACCCAGATGCCCCCATTTTTGAAATATTTTAAAATTTTGGGGCGCCTGGGTGGCGCAGTCGGTTAAGCGTCCGACTTCAGCCAGGTCACGATCTCGCGGTCCGTGGGTTCGAGCCCCGCGTCAGGCTCTGGGCTGATGGCTCGGAACCTGGAGCCTGTTTCTGATTCTGTGTCTCCCTCTCTCTCTGCCCCTCCCCCGTTCATGCTCTGTCTCTCTCTGTCCCAAAAATAAATTAAAAAAAAAAAAAAAATTTTAAGTTAGCTAAAGAAGGGGGAAAGATTTTTTACTCGAGACATTTATTTACCCGAAAGATTCACTTCTCTGGAATGATAGTGTATTCTCCAATATTAGAGAAATCAGGTATTAATAGGCTTATTAAAAAACGGGGCGAGAAGAAGGCAACTGTGTCTCTTAGGCTAATCGAGGTATCTATTTTAAAATCATAAGTAGCTGAATTGTAGCCTTTTTTATTTGCCATATACTTTTCCAAGTGTCTTTACCTATTTTTTCCTCCCTGCAGCAATCGCACGGTTTAGGCAGGCCGATCTGGCTCCAGATTGCCGAGTCTGCTTACAGATTCACTCTGGGCTCAGTTGCTGGAGGTGAGTGACATGTCTGTGTGCTGTCTCAAGCTTGTGTTAATTCAGTACTATCTCACTAGACTGAGACAGGTCAGCAAAGGTGCAGTTTCTAGTTCCTGCGGGTCATAACTACAGAGCTTTCTGCAGTGTCCTTTATTTCTACCTGTGATGAGAGGATTGTCGCAACACAGCTGTGGCCCCTCTGGCTCCAGTGTGTCTTCAGGACAAACCCCTGTACTAAAGTGAAAGTCTGCATGCGTGCTGCACTCGCCTTAATTATCCTGTTAAGACAGTGTGAAGAAATGGAATAATGGTGTTGGGGGTGAGGCAGGTATACAAATCCCAGAACCTTACAAAACAAAACAGCCTCCTAAAGTGATTGATTCACTGTGGCTTTTCTACTTGTATTTTTTTTTTCCCCTCTCCCTCTTTACTGGCTAAAGAATTATCTAGACTTGTAGTTAATATTTGCTAAAATGAACCCCTAGTCCCTGCTCCTAGGCAACATTTGAGAGACTTTTTTTTTTCTTACATCTTTCCATAGAAAATGTATAGAATCTGAAGTAGCTTTGTTGAGAAGATCCTAGGAGGTGTGATTAAAATGCTTATGATTTTTCAAAACAAGCCTGAACTGATGAAACTATTGTTTTTTCCTTTTCAGTTTTAGAAGTTGCAGAACATGTTTTGGTTTTCTTTTCTTTTTTTTTTTTAATTAATTTTTTTTTTTCAACGTTTATTTTATTTTTGGGACAGAGAGAGACAGAGCATGAACGGGGGAGGGGCAGAGAGAGAGGGAGACACAGAATCGGAAACAGGCTCCAGGCTCCGAGCCATCAGCCCAGAGCCTGACACGGGGCTCGAACTCCCGGACCGTGAGATCGTGACCTGGCCGAAGTCGGACGCTTAACCGACTGCGCCACCCAGGCGCCCCCATGTTTTGGTTTTCAACAGTTGAAAAATAACACTCCACTTCATTTTATAATTTTTCCAGTGTCAGAAATCCTAAAGCCTGGCATTAAAAAAGGCCAAAAAACACAAATTCTGTACAAAGGGATAGGGTCATGTTGAGATGTGGTTCCAATATTATGGTCATAACTAAGAGTAATTTACCAAAATGCTTTAGTAAACTAAGTTTTAAAATTATAGCTACCTGTTTCTACACATATGGTTATTTCAAAGGGTAAATGGTATAATATTTCGGCATTGAATGGAAAGTATAAAGAAATATATAATAGTTTCATGTTGCGGAAATCAAGTCTTGATGACTTAACGTTGGTAATGACTTGAAAATGCACGCAGTTGTTCTCTGAAGCAGCTATATTTATGGGTCCCAAATGCTAGCCTGTCATCCTTCAGCAGTGTATGGAAGAAGGAAGAATAACATACAGTCTCTTTTGTGAGAATAGATACCGTGTTTTGTTTTTTAGTCCTTTGAGATGAGATTTGTTGTCCTTAAAGAGCCTCCATTTAATTGCGCTCTCTTCTAAGGGTAAAACTTGTTTTCTTTGTAGCTGTGGGAGCCACTGCAGTATATCCTATAGATCTGGTGAAGACCCGCATGCAAAACCAGCGTGGCACTGGCTCTGTTGTTGGGGAGCTGATGTACAAAAACAGCTTTGACTGTTTTAAGAAAGTCTTGCGTTATGAGGGCTTCTTTGGACTCTACCGGGGTGAGTAACTGTATCTTAGCTGCTGAAGTTAGTGGTTTTATCTCAGCAGCAGCAGATTTTAACACCTTGATTATGAAAAAAGTGTGTTGTCCAGTCAGAGTAAAGATGTTTCTCTCTTTTAATTTTCTTGTTGCTTGTTTCCCTTTTTACATTCTTGCTGGTAACTAGCAGTATGTGTGTAGACAAGGCCTTTATTTCTTCCTGATGTGTGTATTTCATGGAATCCAAATTCTGTTGCCACTGTGCTCTGACAAACTCAGGCACATGTCTGCAAGTGGAGTAAAGGATGACAGCTAAGAAACAGAGAGCTGCTTTTCTCAAAGAGTTGGAGAAAAGAGATATGCCTCTGCTCTGTGAAATAGAAGCCAGGCAGTTAGTTGAAAGTGAGTTTACCCTCTCTGCACTTGTTTCAATTGAAAGAGATATCAAATGTGTTTGTCTCTTCCAAGGAGACCATTCACAAGTCTTTTTTTCCAGTGAGTCATCTGAAGTTAGAAAAAAAAAAAAATGAATAAAAGAAAACGCTTGGCTTCATGTCTCATTCTGTCTCCTTTCCTCCCCTTAGCTCAGAGGCACTGTGAGTAAAACCAGAGAGATTTTCTTTTGCAGAGAATGTTACCACCAAGTCTAGGCTGAGCACAGTGCTGTCAGCATCAGAGGCAACAACCCCCTTGTAGAATTCTCCCCACCCCCGTCGGCTTTGTAGGAACTTGTTCTCTTTGGAGAGGGAATGACTTTCATGTACATGTTTTCACATTAGAATTTAGGGTTTCCTTTGGGAGGGAGATTAATTTTTTAATCCCTTTGGGCGCCACTTGGAATTCTTTGAAAATATTCTCTACATGCTCAAGTCCAGAGCATTTTTGTAATTTACTGTACTTATTTGTTTGCACACACAGTCTCATTAATCCCTATCTCACTCTGAGCTCTGTTGAACTGTTTGGCCTAGAACTTCTTCCTTGGAAAGAAAGACTGGACCTGAACAAAGCTTATGCTCATGTACAGGAGGAAAAAACACCTCTGGTTAGCATTATTTGCAGATATTCAAGTGAAAAATGTATCTCTGATACAGTTAAAGGAGAGGGTCATGAGGATGTTCATTATTGGCATTTTATATAGAATAAGAAAAGAGAGTGGTTTTGAAATCAAAGTAGGCTTAAATACCCTGCTCCTAAGAATGAATGTAGTTAATTTTACTCAAATATTCAGAACTCTAACCTCCTTGAATTCCAGCTGTATCACATGTACTCCACGGGAGGAAGGTGTGTGTTGTCCAGAATGCAGATCTCTGCCTGGGAATGCTTATTTTAAGCTGTACTAAACCCTGCATATCTAGATTATATTTAATGAGGAATTTAATGAGGGTTGAGTGGTGCTAAGGGTTTTTTTTTTTTTTTTTTTTTTTTTTTTTTTTTTTTTTTTTTTTCTTTGTCATCTCCAATCTTTCTTTGTTGAAAAATGACCTTTCTTCCTCCTTGGTTTACTTTTTCTCTACCAGAAGTAACCTAGATATATACTGCACAGTTTAACCTTCTCAATGGATGGATGCTTACGGAAAATTTCATTTGGGAGAGATGTCATGTTAATGAAATGAGTCCAATATAGCAAGTTTAGGGGTGGGGGAGAGGTGGAGGGATTGTTAGCTTTATCCAGGATGTGAGCTGATAAAATCAGTTCTTTAAATGAGAGACTCTGGTATTAGGGAGAAGATTGTAGGAGTCCTGTATGTGAACACTATGATTATTGAGATTGTCATATGTGGCTTAGAACTGGTCCATTATTCTGTCAGATGATTGACAAAATTGTTGACAGATTAGCCTAAATTTCTTTGCAGGCAACAGTGATAAAATGACATAAATCAGTACTTTATTAAAATTCCATGAGCCTTATTGAGGCAAGTTGTAAAACAAATACACATGCTGACATGGTTGTATGGAAGTTAGATTAAAAGTAATAGGGCCTCATAATCATGAAGGTTAGAAAGTTAAGACTGCCATCTGCTGATTTATTCTTTTAAATCAGTCTGCTACCCATTAAAGGTGTGTGCAGATTTGTGTTTGTCATTGATAATTCAGTTTGACTGACAGTAGCCTGTATGTATGATTACTTGCTGGCTCTCAACTCTTAGAAAATCACTCAGCAGTATCCTCAAAGTAGGCTTAAGATGAGCAGTGAGTGTGCAAACACATACATAACTCCCCCTTGGCTGGGTGATTTAAAGGATATAGAATGTTTATTGTTAGCATCTTTAAAAAATGTATGCAAAAAATGTATGCCAACAATTTGAGTAATCTGTGTGCTTTACAAAGCTGAGCCTTATGAATATCTACAGATGTTGAATTGTTTATATATTTTTTTCTTTTGCAGTTTGCAGCCAGCCTGGGAAATTTAACTTTCTAAGAATAATGATTTCCTTTGTTTTAAGAAGATTCTTTTGAAATGTCTTAAGTTTGACATACATTAGTAAATAAGAATGTAGCAGGCATATGTTTTTGTTTGTAAAAGATATCCAGGGGCGCCTGGGTGGCGCAGTCGGTTGAGCGTCCGACTTCAGCCAGGTCACGATCTCGCGCTCCGTGAGTTCGAGCCCCGCGTCGGGCTCTGGGCTGATGGCTCAGAGCCTGGAGCCTGTTTCCGATTCTGTGTCTCCCTCTCTCTCTGCCCCTCCCCCATTCATGCTCTGTCTCTCTCTGTCCCCAAAATAAATAAACGTTGAAAAAAAAAATTTAAAAGATATCCATTAAATGATACTTAAAACTGCATTTTTCTTTGCATTTTTGGCTTCCTTTAAAATAAATGGTACTGAATTCTGGTTTTCTCTATAAAGAGAAAATTATGCAAGTTGGTGTTCTGTAATAACCAAACCACTATATGCTAGTATATAGGTAGCAGCATTTGTGGCAAAATCTGGGTCTTTTCAACAGCAGGCTTTGCAGAGGTTTTCCAAGCATACAACATTGGCTTCTTTAAAGTGCCTGTCTATGTTTGTATATTGTTGGTTGTAAAGGGAGGGGATTTGGTTACATTGTTATTGGCAATGTTCAGGAGTAGAGAAGATCCATGGTCTCCATTCCTTGCTCACATACTTTTTGAGACGTGTTAGATAATTAGGCTTTAAAGGAAGCATGCTTAAGAAAAGGATTTATAGCCTCAAGAAAGCATAACATTATATTTGACATCAGTATTGTATACATGTACAGAGTTTTTAGGATAGTCCATTTTTCCATATTTTAATGAAAGCCCTAAAATGTTTGATGCATTAATAATATGAGGGAAACTGTTGCTTGTTGGGCTTGTATGTTCATGTTTAGTACATTCATATTGTTAATGCTTCTTTCTGTTTACCTAGGTCTGATACCACAGCTTATAGGGGTTGCTCCAGAAAAGGCCATTAAACTGACTGTAAGTATCTTTCTCTTTGAATTTATGTCTTTTGTTTAGATTATCATTAAGCCAAAAATTAATGGTGCTGCTGCTGAGACTGGCCCACTATCAAGACATTTGTAAAACTTTAAAGTTTTATGTAGACATTTAATAATTTTTTAAAAGTTTATTTACATTGAGAGAGAGAGAGAGAGAGAGGGAGAGAGAGAGAGGACCAGCAGGGGAGGGGCAGAGAGAGAGGGGGACAGAGGATCCAAAGTGGGCTATGTGTAGACAGCAGAGAGCCTGATGCAGGGCTTGAACTTTCAAACCGAGATCATGACCATAGCTGAAGCCAAACACTTAACCAGCTGAGCCACCCAGGCGCCCGATGTGATAATTTTTAATTTTATCATGAGACAAATATTTTGATGACTTGGGAAATGAATAACATGCCATTAGAGGAAATGGTTGAGAATTCTAGTTAACCAATGTTGTCTTTCTGATTAGGTTAATGATTTTGTCCGGGACAAATTTACCAGAAGAGATGGCTCCATTCCACTTTTAGCAGAAATTCTTGCTGGAGGTTGTGTAAGTATTAATACTGGGCATCTCTCATGACAAGTATGTTCCTTTAACCTTTTTTGCACATTAGGTATAATATCTGAGTGACATTCCTTCTGAACTCAAGGGTTTCTAAGATTTTCTCAGTGATAATAAGGAATGCTTTTTATTTTTTTTATTTATTTTTTTTTTTAATTTTTTTTTCAACGTTTATTTATTTTGGGGACAGAGAGAGACAGAGCATGAACGGGGGAGGGGCAGAGAGAGAGGGAGACACAGAATCGGAAGCAGGCTCCAGGCTCCGAGCCATCAGCCCAGAGCCCGACGCGGGGCTCGAACTCACGGACCGCGAGATCGTGACCTGGCTGAAGTCGGACGCTTAACCGACTGCGCCACCCAGGCGCCCTAAGGAATGCTTTTTAATTTCATTGCATGATCTAACTGATTTTAAGTGCAGAAAAGAGGTAGTATTTTTGTCAGCTCTAACTCTTAGAAGCTCCTGACATTATGTTCCACACTTTGTAAAGTTCTGATTCTGATTCTTAAATATTATAGAAAATAGAGTAATGGATAGGGTTCCCATACATTTATATTGTCTGGAAGTTCAAGTGTGAGATGACTGATTAATTGAGCTCTTATATTTCAGGTGTAGGACTGAGTAAACCATTGTTTTATAATTATAATTTTCCTTCTTTAGGGACCAGAGGTTATAGCAAACAACTGTAATTATGTTAAGGCTATTACATTTCTGAATGCAGAGTTTCAGATTATATTTAATTAGAGCACAAAGGTTTCTATCTTTAAAATGTAAGTATAACATTGGATTTAGACCAATTCTCTAATCTAAGTTTGTAGCTCAACTAATTTTATTTGTGGTGTTCATTTCAAATTTGTTAATACACAATTTAAGACTTATTTAGTCCGTTTTGTCCCTGAAGCCCTTAATAATTTCCAGTTGAATTGGCTGACAATCCTAGCTAAACCCTCCTCAGTTGCTAGTGGAACTTGAGGTGATAAGGTCAGTGACCTTTGCAACTTTTAATTCAGAGAAGATGCCCTGAGGGTCAGAGAGAGGGGCTGCTCTGGATTCTTCTTGATGAGATTTGTCAGCCTGGTACATACCTGGGTCCTCACCTTTGGGCAATTGAAGTTCCTATTGAAGAGGTGACTTGGGCTCTTTGTGTGTGTGTGTGTGTGTGTGTACATATGTACATATGTATGTATGTCCATTTGTGTGTATGCTTGTACACATGTCCACCCAAGTACATTCTCAGGAAGAAAACTCACCTCTTTGGCTGACTTTCTTTTTTCATGAAGGACAAATAACAAACATAGAATAAGACCTTTGTTTAAGCGGATCACAAAAAATATAGTTTCTCTTCTTCCTTTACCCTAATTAGATGCTGTAATTATTTCTTTTGTCATGAGAGAATGTTTGCAAATCGTAAATATTCTTTTTCTCAGTTTTAGTTTTAGTTTGGTTAAGAAATTTCCTAACTTAGTTTTGCAACTGCTCATGCGTACACTTGCCAGAAATATCCTGAGTCATGCTCTTTCTGTCCCATGTAGCTAATTATTTGTTTCCATTTGTAATACCCAGAGGTTTTTTGCCCATGAAACTGACCTGTTCCCATGTCTGACATGTGACCTAGGTGGTTAAACTGTAATCAGATATTTGGTTCCTTTGTTTTTCCTACCATGGACCCTGTTTCTAGGTTTGAACTTTGGGAATTTCTATTGAAGTCTGGGGTGCCTTGAGGGTTGTGCTGACACTCTAAATTTCTTCTTTCATCGTGACTTCTTTCTGAGAGCTTTGATGGATTGTCTAGTTGGAAATTGACAGCATGAAAAATAGACAGGTTGGGTTGTAGGCAGAACGATGAGGTTGTCCACAGTTCTTCATCTCAAACATTTTTTGCTGCCCTCTTTTTTCTAAATTTCTTCTTCATTCGAGGAGGAAAGAAAATGTGTAATTACTGAGTTTGTATTGATGAATTCAATTACACTACAGTGTAAATGATTGTTAAAGCATAATCTGCCAGTTCTCCCAAAGGTCTATGTATTTCAACAGAGAATAAGGCCTTAAACGAAATGAGTGAGTCTCTGTGTAAAGAATATCAGCCACTGTGGAATACAGGAATTCTCTCTTTACCGAACGAAACCTGATAGACAGCCACCAGATAAACACTGGGAAGAGTGGTTACCCGTGCGCCTGATCGTGAGAACTCTCACCATCCTGGGTAGTGGTGGTGATCTAATGTGCAGTGTCCCTGTGGGTATTTGGCTGAATGCTGTCAGTGCAACCAGCTAAGAACAGTGCGCATGTTTTTCCAAAAATCACTCAGTTTTAAAGACCTACCTTGTGTTAACCTAATGCAAAACATGTTAGCCTAATGCAGCTTATTTCAGAGGAAATGGCTCAAACTGAGCAGTCATTATTGGTTTTATAGGTTTTTTCCCCAGCAGAAGGATCATCTAGGACTTGGGCTTTGAGTTGCCTATATATAATGGAGAGAAATTCTGCTGTGAAAATGACTGTTGCCCTCTAGGAAAAATGGTGTTCATTGACTAGATAATGAATTGACCAAGAAATAAAAATACCTGGTCCTTAGACCTTATTTTTTGTTGTTTGTTTTGTTTTATGACCTATTTTTTAAAAATCTGGTATTTGATACATGCCAAAGAGTGCATACTATATAAATCTAAAGAGTAATAATAAAATGAGCGTCTATAAGGCTGTCACCCAACTAAAATATTACTATAATTGACACTGGTTTTTGCTTCTAATGTAGCTCTAATATGCTAAGATTGCTAATGAGCAAGCAGTAGGGACTTTTCCTATCTGAACATTTTATAGGCGTTAACTATCTCATTATCACTCCCACCTAGAGGTGAAGAAAAGAAACCTAAGTGAGATCCAGTACTTAGTAAATGGTAAAGTTAGGATTCAAACCACTTTTGTTTCAAATCCATATTTACTCATATTTGGTATATTTCCATTTATTCATTCTTCCATTTATTCATTCTGATTCAAAACCAGCCATCAAGGCTGAGAAGGATTTAGCTTCTTTTTTCCTGTGAAGGAAACCAGACTTAGGATATGTTTACGTCTCATAGAAAAAGGGTAGTTGCTGATCATTCTCACCAGATAAAACTTAATCTTAAGTCTAATCATATTCTGTGGCAATTTGAAAGTAGAATTACTTATTGTGATTAGCTTCATTCCTACATATCACCAAAGAAAATACATGCTTATGGTTATAATTCATCATAATAGCTGCCATTTCTTAAGCATCTCGTACTGGACTTGTACTTTATAGGCATCTTCTCATTATTCTCAGCTTGAATTGAAGAAACTAAAAACTCAGTGAAATGTAGCAATATTTGGTGTTTGTTTCTGTTTATTCATTTTTTATTTATTCTCTCATTCATTGAATGCCTGCTGTGTTTCAGGAATATTTTTATTTTTTTTTAATTTTTTATTTTTTTATTTTTTTATTTTTTAAAGTTTATTTATTTTTTTGGGACAGAGAGACAGAGCATGAATGGGGGAGGGGCAGAGAGAGAGGGAGACACAGAATCAGAAACAGGCTCCAGGCTCTGAGCCATCAGCCCAGAGCCCGACGTGGGGCTCGAACTCACGGACCGGGAGATCGTGACCTGGCTGAAGTCGGACGCTTAACCGACTGCGCCACCCAGGCGCCCCTCAGGAATATTTTTAAAGCAAAAGCTTTATTTT